AGAATACTGTACTACAGTGTGACTTTAATTTTATCCATCACTTTAAAGATATTACCTTTATCAAATTCTTCTTGGTCTAATTCAGTTGTCTCTGACAGTTCTGTGTTATTCACTTTCACCTTCACTGACCTCTCTGCAAAGTTGAGAATGGCTGAATTTCTCCATTTCTACAAGGAAGGATTCAGACCATCTGCCTCTATTCTTGAATGTTCCTATCATTCTTCTCCGTTTTCCTGTGGCTCTTGTGCTAACTCTCCACCAATTTAGATGTTACTGCTATATGCATTTCCTTCATTCTCAGTTCCTCAATTTATTGTGGTATAAATGATTTATAAAGTTTTTTTTTCATTTTTCAGACTTTTGTTTGTAGTCAATTTATAATCAACAAATTTGACAGAAGATCTTTTACTTGATTCCACTACTGGATGTAGTGAAAGTCATGGCTATTAATATAGTAAATAAAATTTTTTATAGTCATTACCTTAGTTCAACACAATTGCCCTAAAATTAAAAAATGAATTACTGAATTTTACTCTGAATTGTCATAGGCACATCTTCAAGTGATGAAAGACAACTGTAGAAATGCAATAAACTTCAAGATTAGCAATTTCATTTAATTACTGATAATAATCCTTTAAGTAATACTTGGAAAATATGTAAGATTTTAAAGTATTTCAACACTGTTAGCTCTTTAGAAATTCCACACTGAGATCAAGATCACAATTTCTTAACAATACACCAGCACCACAGGACCTTTCGTGGCAAAATGCAATTGTTTCCTATAATATCTTTCAAAGTCATAAAAATAATTCCTACATGTGTAAACCCTTTATTCAAACATTCTCTGCACCTTTATGTTGTCAAGAAAAAGAGCACAGAGATCTTAGGATACATAACAATTACTGGTTATTATAAGTATTTATTTTAATTATTTTTGGTTCTTAGCCTTAACATTTTCATTCCAACAGAGATAGCTAAATTTTTCCTGGTTTATCTTTATTGCCATTATAAAAGAGGTCCAACCTCTACTGCTCATTTTTTAGTGACAAGAACATGAAGCCACTGTTATATGCTATATCCATAATAAATTATCCTACAATGTAGATTGTACTGCCTTTTATTCTACTACTTTATAAGTATAGAAATAAGTTCACCCCTGCTTCAGGTATGTATTTCATTTATAGACGAAAACTACAAAAATATGGAATTATAATTATGATCTTATGCCACTTTCAGTTACAGAAATACTCAAAATGTAAAATCAGAAGTATGTGGAGAAAACAGAAATCTTGAAAAAAAGATGATATTCATGAATATCTGGGTACTTAAATCTCCTTTCTGCTTCTCAGGGCCCTGGGAAGGACAACTCTCCCTATGTTTCTGATTGTATACCTAATTACTTGCAAAGATCTAATATACCAAATCATATATCTAATCATATCTAATATATCAAATCATGATTACAATTCCATTTCCCTGCAAAAAGTATTCTAGTTATATTTGGTTCTGATATCATGACCATTTATAAAACAGCTAATAAATACTAATGAATATTGAATTAACTAATTTCAGAGTTTACTCAGAGGGATTACATTATCTAGTACTAGTGATATATTTATTTTTGCCTGTTTTACTAATTAGGTCTAAAATATCTTGTGCATTTGTCATTGTCACTCTCACAATTCTCAATTGCTCCTGTGACTATTTGGAAACCTGAATGTTCCTAATATCTTCCCAATCAAAAGTGAAATAAATTTAATTCAGCTTAATTTAAGCTTCTTTTCCATATTTTTAAAAAGATTGTGTTATGTTCTTAATGTTTCACTTTCACTGACTGTTTCTTTCCCTTTCTATAACAAAGTTAATTTCATAAAACCCCTAAGAAGCTGTTCAAAATAACATCTAGTTTGCTCTTAACATACTATTCTCTAACAGCTTCCTTGCTATTTGTTAATTTACTCAATAAATATTTCACTACATTCTATGTTGTATGCACTGTTTTATACATCAGTGATACACTGTGAACAAAATAAAGCCCTGCCTCTGCCAAGTTTATATTCTAGTGGGACAAGCAAACAAAAAAGTAAATAAATGTATCATTGAATAAGTAATTTTAAAAGCAGTGGCTTCAAATCATGTTTCATGGAATTCACATTCAGGAAAGGTCATATGTGTACTTCACAATTACCTCAACAATATAAGCATTTAAATGCACACATACTGAATTTAAAGAATGTTACAGTAAACTCATGCATTAATTTTTTTCTGTGTTCTTGAACTTCTTATATATACATCTATTATGAAGGCTATACCTTAACTCCTTTGTTTTATAAAGTCTAACAAATATCCCTCTATCTGCCTATATACAACAAAAATCAAATACAAAAAACAAATTTTCCCTGGCTGGTTGTACAACTTATTATTATACATCATGAAACCAATACTCTCTGCCAATCAAGTACAACATTTATTTGTTTTAATAGGTGTTATTTAATGGGGTTTCAAATAAGACTGCTTTGTAGAACACCACCGCTCTAGAGAAACCAGTACAGAGATTTTAGCAGAGAAATGATATGGTTAACACTGTATTTCAGAAGTAATATTACATCAAAATAAAATAGGTAAAACAAAAAATGAGAAAATCAGTCAGAAAATGAAGACCAAACAAGAAAATATGGTGGAATGAACAATTACTAGGGATTAAAAAAGGGGAGTACATTTCTGAAATACTAAGGAAATAAAATAGAAGTTGATGACTCATTAGACAGTAGGGAGAGCAATGGCTTTCAACAGAATAGAGTCTTAATATACATTACTTTAATATTAGCCATGTTGAAAGGTACAAGTGTCCAGACTCCTTAATACTCAACTCCTTACTACTCATGGTAGAATATTTTATTCACATGTAATCAGTGTGTCTAATGAATTCCTTTTTTGCAATAACAGTCCTAATTTTGTGATTTCCTTAACCCATTTTTATATACTATAGATCAGATAACCTATTATACAGTCATATAACCACTTTTTTAAATTAACTACATTCTTCTTCAAATTCCATAGTAGTTTTTCCATTTAGACTTCAATACTATTAACATTATCCTTGTAATGTATTTGAAATTCATTATCCAATATTATAATAGCCTATAATATCACATTATAATGTTTGTATTCTACTATAAGCAACAAACAATCTTTTAACTTTTCACAATAACACAAATATACATTTTTATGTAGAGCCTTCACTATACTATCTTCTCTAGCTTCCAATAACCCTCTTTCTTTCAGGTAAGGAAAGCAGAAATACTTATTCCCAAACTACTGTAGCAAAAATCTTATCTGGAGAGAGAAAGGCATTAAATGTTTTGCCCAAGATAATTTGGCTGGCCAATGGTGAAGCTTTCAAGAAAAACAAATTTTTTATTCTTTATTTATTAGTGCTCACTCTATCTTGCCATGTTATCAAAGTAGTATATTTAACTCCTGACAGGTTTCATGATCATCTCTTTTCTGAATAAAACTAGATAGCTATATATTTCATTTCTTTTACATTCACACAGTTTCCTGAAACTTTTTATTTTGAAGCTTTCAATAATACCAGCTTTATAACTTCAGCCACCTAATACCAATCTGCTTCACAACTTACCATTCCTTTTTATCTCTAGTTTTATCTCTAGTAAAATTTTATCTCTAGTAAAATTCTTCTGCATCTCTATGATATCCATGAATACAGAAAATATAGAATTTTTTTCAAAATCTAAGATTTGGAAATAGCAACATGTCAAAGAATTTAAAAAATCAAGATATAATTCCCTGCCCAGAAGTTCAAATTTGGACTCTAAGACACTTACATATTTGTCTCATAACCATTATTAAGATCTTTCCTAATTTCACAAAATATCTGTTCGTGATGTTGAGGGAAAAATCATTATTGTGTACAAATTTCACAAGATATGTTAAAATTAAATCTGTTTATTTAATTCTAAATAAACTTGGCTTTTAAGCAAACTAATAACAATATATTTAATATTTTTCTTATCTCATTCTACATTTGTGTACTATCCAAAAAAATATTTTAATTTATTTTAAAAATGTATTGAAATATCAAAATATTTGGTACTAAATTTATGTGGCTTCAAAAGTTTACTATTACTTCTCAAGTATTCAAACACATTCATAAAACAATACTCATTTCCCTAAATCATGTCAAAAGCACATTTGGATGAAACTAAAAAAATGACAATAAGGATAATCATGTCATAAAGTGATACTATAAAATTGTTTTGTAAATTCTCATCTTTGCCTCCTATCAGAATTTCTTTTTTCATTAGAAGCTTGACATCAAAAAAAAAAAAAAAAAAAAGGAGTTCGACATCAAAGAATAATTACCTAAAATGCTGTCTCAGTAAATTACAATACTGGCCATTTTCAACTGCTTACAAATATTACACATCCTATAAGTATTAAGCCCATAGCATACATTTGCTATATGTTTACACACTTATGAAGAGATGAAAAACTCATGGATGATTTTATGTTCTGAATTTTTAAGTCAGTGTCTTTCGACCTTCTGAAATAAATATATTTATTTTACTACTTTCTATTTAATTCTGGCAATGTATTAATAGTTCTATTTATTTTATACTGGACAGTGAAATACAATTAGCATATCTGAATGACAACACAGGAAACCAAACGATTATTTTCTCCTTTAGTTTACTGCTTATATAAAATATTATATTTCATCCAGTATTGGGTCTTAACATTATCTTGCAAGTTCTACTTTTGGTTTTATGCTTATTTCTTCCCTACCATCATTAAGTTGATGACAAAGTGATGCCTGAAATACCTTTATTAATTCAAATTGACCAGTCTGCAAAATTCTTTGCAGCACTGTCTTTGATGTTGGCATCTCAACGATTCTTACTGTGATGTTTTATTTCCTTGTTTCTCCACAGAAATATAATGAAGAAATAATAGGCCTCAAGCAATGCACAATTTACCTTACAAATCTGGAAATATTCTGAAGTCAAGGTTTCCTGAATTTCCTCTCTCAGAACTCCAGCCGTCCCTCCTGGATGCAAGGGACCACTACCAGTCCCACCGCTATTACTGCCACTGCTGCTGCCACTGCCAGGTGAGGAGGCAGTCAAGCCATCCAAAACTTTTCGGAAATTAAACTTCTTCATTTTAAGGACTGTTGAGAAAGTCAAAGGAAAAGAGAAAGGGTTGACTAAGTACATAGAATTATACCGGGTGAAATAATTTATTTTTCCATATTCAAGGCAGTAGTAGCCAGCCCCATTTTATGAGCATTGGCTAAAAAGTGGAAAAGAAGGCCTTGTTTTGTCAAATTTTAATTCTAAAATATCTATCTTCATAAAATAAAGACCATTCCTAGAGCAACTGTATTCCTTCTTCACACATCAGATTTTCAAGGGCTTTATCCCCAGCTGTAACTACGCTTTGACAGCACTGGGGTGACAATAAAAGGCAGTGTCATCCTCATCATTAGTATTATATCATCATTATTATACAATCAAACCAGAATTCAAAAGAACAAGACCCTCTGCGTCTCTCTTCAAGGCGGGATTTTTTTCTAAAGGTTCAGCTAGAATAATTTTTATTTCCAGAAAAACGTTGTTGGGGGGGGTGTTGCAATTTACTCTGCCACCATCTTCCAGGCGACCCCCCCACCCCCCAACCCTCTGTCATCTTCAGCCGTGCCTTTTTTCTCTGTAAGAAATTTGGGAGGCAAAGACGCCTTTTATTCCACTCCCCATTCCCAACAGTCGGGAGCCCAAAACATCTGCGGCTGACAGCACCACAGCCGACGGGAGGGACGAGCGGCGACACCGGCCACCTCCGCGCTTCCCCGCGCCCTCATCCCGGCCCCTCCCGCCCGCGCCTCTACACCCCCACCCCCCCTCCTCCCACCCCCGCCAACCAGCCGCTCGCAGCCCCGCGCGTCCGCCCGCCCGCCCCGGCGCTCTCCGCAGCGCAGCAGCGGCCCTCTGGGGACGCCAGGCGGCGGCGGCTGCGGCGCAAGTCCCGCCTGAGCCGGCCGGGCGCGGAGTCAGGCTCCCGCCGTCGCTCCCCGGGGCCCAGCGCCCAACGCGCGAGCACACCAACACCCTCAGCAGATCGCCGCGCGCCGGGCCGAGCGCACACACACGCGCGCCCACGGGCCCCTACAGACCCTGCGCGGGCGCCCACACGCGTGCAAGCAGGTGTGGGGGAAGCGCGGCTGGACGGCGAGCGCGGCGTCCCGGACGAACGTCTAAGGACCCGGACTTAGGCACCTTCCTCAGACGCCGCTAGCGCCTGCCAATCCGGGAAGAGAAGGCTGCGGAGAACGGCGGGCTTCCAGGCGTGGGTGCGCCCGCCTAGGGCAGCTCCGCCAGTGTCTATGGTCTCGACGCCGGGCGCTCTCCGAGGTCCTAACCAGGCAGGCGGCTCCGCCACAGGCTCCGCCCCCGCCGCGAGAAGCAAGCCCCGCCCCCGAACCGCGCGATCCCGCCCCCGCCTCCTGAGGAGGGCGCCCAAGGGGCGGAGCGCTCAGCAACGTCGAGGGGCGGGAACCGCCTCCCCGCCAATCCTGTGATCCTGAGGCGCGGTAGGAATTTGAGGATAGGTTGGAACAAAAGCCAAAGAAAGGGGGAGGGGAGAATGTAGAAACGCAGGTGTTTGATTGAAGTCGGTATTGGCCAGTACACTCCGGCGCCATGCTTTAAGGGTTGTAATTGGCGCTACCTGTTGAAGGACGCGAGTGGCAATCAATAGAATGCCTGGAAGCTTGAGAACTTGGGCGCCTGGAGTGGAGAAGGCAAGAAGGTTACCTTAGGTCTCCCTCTTGACGATGTAAAGAGGACAAGTGTTTTGCAGCTTTTCACCTCTGTGAGCCTCTTCCCTCTGGCCAGGTGCATCCTTTGGGCTGCCTCACTTCCTTGACATCTGCGCTCAATTTACATTTGTAATTAACCCCTGCCTAACCCTTACCTAGTAATGGCTTAAGAGATGTCTCTGTCAGAATGGATTGTATTTCAGTACAGTTTTAGAATACACCGTATAGCTCTCAGATTCCTAAGGGATTACTCACCTTGTTCACTCTTGGAAGCAAAATTACTCCTTCTCCTTCATCCTCACTTATACAGAGATGTTTAATTTTTTTAAATAAATTATTCATTTAATAAAATGTGTAAAGAATAAGACTTTTAAGCTTTTTCTCTGAGCCAGTAATCATTTTGGATGATACACTATTCAGTGCAGCAAAACAAAACACTGCATCAAGATGGCAAAATGTGGTTTTGAGATTTGACTTGCTATTGAACTTAGGAAAATTTGGACCTAGCTCTGTTCCTCTGAAAATGAAGGGCAGCTCAGGGGGCATTGCTAACTATAGACTTCAATTTGAACAAAACAGAGCTCATTAGTAATTAGCCCAAATGCTTATTGCCTTACATTTTACAGATCTAAGAATTCTTTCTCTTCCCTCTGCCATCTCCTTCCCCCTCTTCTTTGCTCCCTCTTCCTCTCCCTCTGTCTCTCTCCCTGTCTCCGTCTCTCCCTCTCCTCCCCCCTCCTCTCTTCTTCCCTCTCTCTCTCCCACCACTCTTCTCCCTTTCCTCCCTCCTCCTCCTCTTTCTCCCGCTCCTTTCATCTCTGTGTCTCACCTCTCTCTCCCACAACCAGAGATGGTGAGAGGGAGCAGGAGAGAGACTTGAAAGAGAAAGGACTTGCTCAAGTACACAAGGAAAGGAAATGATGGAATGGAATAAAGCTTGGTTTTCGGAGCCTTGATTTAATGTTTAAGCTCTCACTTTGAAATTTTCAATATTTAATGTTCATTTTATCCTTTTTCTGACACTACACAGCTACCCAATAGACAGCCATGGGATTATATATTTCACCTAGTTTGTTTAGCACCCAGCACATTTCACTTTTAAAAAGAACTAGGTTTTTTGCAGCTGGTTTGTTAATAGTTGTTAAAGATTTATGAGAATAGTACCCAATTATATCAAGTTTGGGATGAATAAAAATAAAAATAGAAATGAATATCGTGTCTGATGTAAACTAAATCTTGATAGAATTCCAATATTTGTATCTGATTCTTTAACTATATCTTTATCTTTATTCTCTTTGCTCAAATTTTTTCCTTCTTCCAGATTCATTGCTCACCTCCAAGTATGGAAACCAATTAAGACTAAGGAGTTCAATTCCCTATCTTTATGTCTGTCTTTTCTTTTTAAAAGGGAAAAAGAGGAGTTTGTAATAAGTATTAGTGGACTGGACCTTGTTGTCTAGCATAATGGTTTTGATGTCCTCCTTCCCTTCATCAGTAAGTCTCCTGAAACTCCTTAATTCTCAAATGAAAATAAGCCTATAAAGAGTGGTGGTCTGGCCCTTTGGTTAAAGTAAAGAAAAAAGATATCCCAGTTCAAAAAATGAGATGTAATGTTTATGAGCAAAATTCCTTACGCTCCCCATCACTAGCACCCATATTATTAAAAAGTAGATGGTGGTTTTTATTCTAAAACTTGGAGAGCTGAAAAAAAAAGCACACAAAAAAATTGCCAAAGATTAGGACTATGGGGAGAATGCAACAACCTACTTGAGTTATGAAGTAATACGGTAGATTTCCCTTCAAATAGATATGAGTAGAAGAAAAAACATATTGGAATATGTTTCCAGAAAATTAGAAGTCTTTAAAACATAATTAGAATTTTTAGAATATAGACTCTTTAGCACCATTTTAAATGTTTCTCCACAGTGGATAGGATAATGCTTTATACATACTAATTGTCCAGGAAATATTAATTCGAATAAATAGCACTCAGTAAAAATCTTAACACAATGAAAATCACAGAGAGAGGGAGAGAGAGAGAGAGATCCCCAATGGATAGAAAATATTGTGATGCCAATTCACAGACTGTAAGTCAAAGATAGAAATGAGGAAGAAGTACAATACATTGTGTATGTAGGGGGACAATATAAACACTTATATTCTTTTTTGGTTTGTTTGTTTTTATCGGTACCAGGGATCGAACTCAACGACTGCCTGCTTGCAAAGTAGATGCTTATGCTGCTGAGCTAAATCCCCAGCCCCTAAACACTTATATTCTAAAACTGTTACTAGGTGAGAGAATCATAATAAATTCTTTATAGAAGCAAATTCCATTCCAATTTAGTTAAAACATTTATAAATTATTTATGGCAGGAATGAGACCATACCATAAATATATCTTATAAAGAATGTGGAAAACATTAGAGTTGGGTAAGGTAATAATAATGAATAGTCTTAATCATTCTATTGCAACCCTGAAGAATAGCTCATGGAAAGAAATTACGTAGGTATAGTTTGGATATAAGCCATGACTTCTTGCTAAAATAAAAATATAAAGACTTGCAAGAAAGCACAATAGCTTGGTCACTGCAGCAAAATCATCAAATCATTTTAAAAACTCTATTATGAAGATTTTTATAATATATGTTGAAAATACAACTCACTGCAAGTGCTTATGATCTTGGATTGAAGCCACTTTTCTATGCAACCCCCTGCAAAAATCGAATAATTGTAGAAAATATATACCTGTGTGGCACTTCACACAGAGAGGAAAATTTGCCAAATTGGCTAGACTTAGAGAAAACTAAGCCAGATTGATAAAATGAGCATAAATTGTCCACTCTATATAAAGTTCTAACAACTTTATTTACATCTGTATGCTAAATACTGGAGTACTCTGAAGTTTATAGACATCTCTTTTAATTTGAAATAGGTATAGCCCCCATTTACAGATGAGAAAATTAGAAATGAATACCGGGTTATTTGCAAGGAAAATCCAGTCTTCAAATCTGAAGTTAACTTTTAAGATCATGCTCTTTAATCACTTCATATTACCAAGTAGAAGAATAAGTAGAAACTATAATAGACAAAAAGAGGGCAGAGGGGTAGCTTTTTCTAAAAGAGTGTCAAATATGTATTAGTTTTCCAGGGTTGTTATAACAAAATTGCAGAGGCTGGGTGGCTCAAACAATGAAAGCTTCACAGACAGTTTTGGAAGCTTGAAGATCAAGATGTCAGCGTTTTTGGTTTCTTTTGAGGCCTTTCAGTGACTTGCAAGTGATAATTATAATCTTTCTGTAGGATTGTAAGATCTTTCTCTGTGGGTCACATCCCTGCAATCCCTAGATTTCTAACATTCTTCATTTAATAAGAAAATCCATCAGATTGCATCAGAACCTACCCAAATGGCTTTAACTTAATCACCTCTTTAAAGGTTCCAAATGCAATCATTGACTGAGGTACTAGGTCATGGTAGCTAACTGATTATGTCAAGTTGAGTAAGTAAGAAACACCCAACTCGATTGGCTCAGCATAGTTTTCAGTGTGGAAGACCAGCCCCAGAGACAGTTGTCATCAGAATGGGATAAAAGTAAGACAAAGAAGGAAGGCTTGCTTTTGTTCCTTCAGAGGAGCTTCAGTCTTCACCTTCATCTTGAACAGCATCTCCTGGCTTCCAGTCCGGACCCTCTGAATTCCCACTGAACATTACACTGCGCTCCAGGCCTTTGACTGGATTCTTCGAATCTCCGAGATAGTCCTTTTGCACTCTTCCACATCTGGCTCTGTGGGTGCCCACTGTAAGCCAATCTTACAAATTCTTATATAAGTGTATATCTTGCATTACGTTTGTTTCTCTAGTAAGAACTGATCGCTATATAAGTGTTAGGGTTTCAGCATATGAATTTTTCCCATAAAAATGTGAGTTGGCACCAAGTGTGGGCCACAGGGAAGAGACAAGAAGTCAGCTACTTTCTGTGAATTGGCACCATTCACAGGCCATGGAGAGGAGAACAAGAAGCCAGCTGCTTTCTGTGAATCAATGCCATGCACAGGCTGTTGGGAGAAGAACCAGATGCCAGCCCCCTTGGCTCACAAAGTGGGAGACAAGAAGAGCCAAACCCTCCCCAGGTCCCATAAGCGACCAGCTGATCCAAGCAAATACAGGCTGAGATGATAATTGTTAAAGAAAAATACAACTTAATGCTTGCAGTGTTTAGTGTTTCACTACTTTGCAGACCTAAAGCTGGTAGTCTGATCAAATATTTAGAGGATAATAATATGCAATATAGCAACTATGAGGGATCTTCCTTTGAAGGTGGTAGCCATTATTAATCCTCTGCTATCTTGTTTTAAAGCCCTGTATCATTTTCACTGTTTGGTGTGGTTTGGTTTTATTTTGTTTGTCTTGTTTGATTTTATTATATCTCATGGTGTGGGCAGCTATTTCAAAGACAACAAGAATATTATGGTAGCCATTTTGGATTTACTATTGTCTTGATTTGAAGTCCTGTATTGTGTTCATTGTTTTGTTTTTATTGGTTCTATTTTGTTCTGTTTTATTTTATTTTATTATGTTTGATGTTTTTATTATGTTTTATTTTATTTTATTATGTTTTATTATATTCTGTTTTATTTT